CGCTGATCGGAAAACATTCGTCTTTCTTTTCCGGTAAGTCAAAGAGTTCCTTTACCAAGGAACTCTTTGGCCTACCGGCTAATTTGGCAAACTTCTACTAATGAGTCATCCCAACATGATAAACCTATGTAGGCGGTAATTAAATAGCTATGACGTAACCAAGAGTATGTGTAAGAAAGAGTGTGATTTCTAGTCCAGTTCGTTGTGAATTCGTTACAATCTACTTAAATAATTCGCCTATGCACTGCTACTTTTTTCTGCTCTCTGTCATTTTAATGAGATCCGTTTGCTGTCACCGAACTATTCAGATTAACTTATCCGAAAATCTCACAGATAAGTCCTCCCATCAAATAAGTCCGTCTACAGATAAGTCCGCCTTCAAATAGGTCCGTTTTTTTGATTCAATTAAAGGCCCTTCAGACAAATCCGCCTACGGATAAGTCCGTTTTCCTTCTATCATGACTAAACTGTAATCTTGTCAGATAAGTCCGAAGACTGTCAGATAAGTCCGGACTTTAAGGTACATGGTTACACATATGAAGGGTCGGTAGCTGAATTAGGTATTTCTGAATTTGATGTTCTTCTTAAATGTTTATTTCAAACCTCTATCGCTACTGATATTGACAAAAATACCGAGACCAACGAATATTGAAAAGCTCGATATGCAAACACTTACTCAATCCATTAGGTCCATGCATACTTCATTTGATATCCGTAGCCACGCTGTCAATTCGCTGTCTTCAAATTCAATACTCGTAGACTATAAATACAGATGTGTATGGCTCTTGTAGATCAAAAAAGTGTACATCCAACATGGGCTCAAAACGGCTCATAAATAGTTGAAATTTTGCCAGGTCGTGTGAAGTATGTCTAACGCCTTTATTCCACGGTTGGCTTCTGTTATGTTGAGGGCTTGGCCATGAACAGCGCTTTCTGACCGGCCAATCGAAAGTCCTCCCCTTAGTTGCTGTGTCGAGCACATCCTAGGGCTATTTCAGCTTTTTATATACACGATTCGGCATCGATCTGAACTTGGCGGGAAAGGAACGAACTTTCAAAAGTGACGTACTTGGTAATCATCGCGGCGGAACGTCATGTTTCGTATGATTCATGAAGATGAATGCTATGTAAGTACGAAAAAAAATAAAGAAATTGCATTCAAAGCGCCGCCACGTTCCGTATATGCCTTTTCCAGATTCATAAGGGCTGAACCCAAGCTTGCTCACACTCCTTAAACTTGTATTCAATCACTAGATCTGCTAATCAGGCTTCGGGCATACTTCGCGCGATTTCAGTTGCGACGCAATCTGGCAGTACTCCAAATGTTTATAAGTCTTGTAAGCGCATTCCAAATGTACAGAGTATAGGGCATTCTATCGACTTGTGAAAGTTACACGCGCTATGCATCGGTAGCCTCAGTTTTAGATTTGAAGAAATCTGGCAAATTGCCAAATCGTAACGGGACTGGAACCGCGTGAAGAATGCTCGAGGATTTATCAGCAATTTCATTGCTTCCCTCAGACAAGACAACTGTTACGTCCATTGCATGCCGATCCTCTGCATTTTAGTTGTGATAGTTTTCAGACACGACTATTCGTGACTAACGATCACTACCGAAGTACAAGGTATCGGCATGCAATGGACTTGTAGCAGTTGACTTGTGGGGAATCGTGAGGCGAATTCCAGTCTAGACCAGCCTAACAAAAAAAGCAAAAAGAAAACATTTCGAGTCTAAAGGCTCTGCCATTGAGTATAGTATCATTTTGATGTTGGGAATGTCGAGAATCTCCTAGGCCAACCAATCTGTAGCCTCAACAATCCTGCGATGCATTTTTCGCCACATATTTCAGAGGACACCGCAAGTGATTGGAGCGCGATATCTATCAACGCGTAGAATTATACCACTTTTGACTCAAAAAAGGGGAGAGGCAACGGTTTGATCCGCTCTTTTCACTATATGATAGATTTTTGACCGTTCTAATCGTCCAATCCAAGACTTATGTGAACTCTCCGATATTTATTCCGAACCAACTCAGTTGGTTTGGTAGTTGGTCTAGTAACCAACAAATCCGAGGACGGATATTAGGACACATAAGTTTCGGGAACTTTTTACATAACATAGTTTGGAGTAATATTGTATACACATAGCCCAAATTCGGAGCCATGTGATTGTTTGTGCGCTGTAAACAAGCCATTTGTTTGTTTGAGTCTTGCATTTGAAATTCGCGCGCTTGCGAAAGAACACGTTCAACTCGTGAAACCTGACATGTTCGTCGTGTTTTTTTTTTGCGCTTCCTTCAGGACCTCATAAAACGATGTCCCCGTTGCTTTTAACTCCAAAAACGAACTCCAGTTTGACCCCAAACCATCGGTGCCGGGCCCTATCACTCAGACAGTCGAAGGGATACCTCCGGCGGGCAAATGGCGCGAGTCTGCCACTGCGCGCTCTGGAGCGCTCCGGAGCCCTGCCATTTCACCCATTTCAGTGCTCCGGGGCTCTCCCAAAACTGGCGCACCCCCGGAGCAGAGATTTGCGCGTCCCGGAGAGGGGCCCATTCGCCTGCTTGTGACGTCACCGTGACGTCACGGTGACGTCGCGGTGAACGGTCTTCGGGACGCGCAAATCGGAGGTGCGCCAGTTCTAAGAGAGTCCCGGAACTCCAAAATGGGTGAAATGGCACGGCTCCGGAGCGTTCCAGAGCGCGTATTGCAGAATCGTGCCATTTGCCCGCCGGAGGTATCCCTTCGACTGTCTGAGCATGCGATTTGAAGTGATTACTCTGAAATGTGTTCTCAAGATACCTGTAGCCGCTATAATGTGTACGCACCATTTTTGATCGGTTCATCTGCATAAAATCTGTCTTATTAACTATTTGTAAAAAAAAAGTGACTGGTGCCCGCGTGGAATGTGCAAACTCCATATTAGGTAGTTGCCTTACCTACATATCCCAAAATCTTACAGATAAGTTTTGACAAGAAAAATTGATGAAAATGCACCCTTGCACCGCCAAGATTCTTGCAGATAAATCTTCCCATCAGAGAAGTCCGCACTTATCTGACAAGTTCACGATCGTTATAATGGAAAGAAAACGGACTTATCTGTAGGGCGAACTCATCTGATGGGCATTATCTGATTGTGAGTAAATCGGGCTATCTCTAGACGGACGTATCTGATGGGAGGTTATCAGCGACTACATAACAGCAAAACACGGATGACTATATCATGTGTGCATACAGAATCCAACATTCTCATGTTGTAGGATTCTTGAAAGTGTTGGGGAACATTTCACAAGTAAAAGAAGTAAAATAGAATCTTCAATTAACATTGGAATGTGTTGCATAAAGAAAATGCTATTCATATTTAAGCGTTAACTTATTCTGACATAGAGAGCCGGCTGGAGTTTCCAAATTTTTGCCGTTTTATTCACAAGTATCGTTAACATATTTAGTTGGGCTGCTCTAATTAAAATAGGAAGTGCAACAGAGAATTGTTTCTCGCAAGTAAAAAGCGCAAAATTTCCTTCCGTTGCTGGGAATCGAACCCGGGCCTTACGGATGAGAGCTGTAAATCCTAACTAGACCACAACGGACCCAACTGCCAGTAGGCGAACCTCCACTTATGCAAAGCAGGACCTTTTTTTCAGAGTAAAGAATTCTTCATGGTTATCTTTGCGAAATGACAATCTCTATTCGTTAAACGTATCCTTCAACTCTAGACAATAACTTGTAACGTCACTGCATACAGCACAGCCCAACATTGATACGTTATGGAATAAATGTTGCCATAAGCTTTTCTCATGTAAATGGAAATTAAGGGGGGCGTAGCCAGAATTTCCGTCTGGAGGGGGAGGGATAGAATTTCTTCAGTAAAGGTGCGTGGCGTTAGCCGTGCATACGAAAGGTTTTCCGAGAACTTCCTAAAAGTTTTTGCTGGCCCGTAACCCCATTTGAAAAAAAAGAGTACGTCGCTGGCCCCGAAAAAAATTTTCTCACAGGGCTAACTTGAATTTTTAGAATTTTTGAAAATTATTTTAATTATTCACAAGTATAAACGAGCCACTTGTACATCTTTATAACTCATGCAAGGGACTACCAGACATTTAGCGACCCATTTTCGGGGTGGAGGGGGGGGGGGGGGAGCAAAATTTTCGGATGCACCCCTGCTCCCATTCCCGCTTCAGTCCGCCACTGGCCGTAAATAAGGAGCAATCTTATCTCTTCTAGATGAACTTTTCTCCAGTATGATTGTCTTGTTATTTTCGTCTCTAGCTATTTTACAGACATAACGCTGTATAAAATTGATTACCGCTGGTTGTGATTTAGTAGCAAGAATGAAAAAGATGAAAAAAAAAAGAACTACTGAGAGTTGCCCTTATGTTTGAACATTCGGCCTGGAAGAGGTTCAACTATCTTATAATAGAGTATAAGAAAGCTAGTGGTGGTCAGCAGAAACAGCAGCAAGCCTATAATCTTGTTCGCGAAAGACTTTATAATTTTCGTATTCTAGATTTCGTAGATCTCGTGTCAGTTTTGGATGTTGGGCGTTCAGAATTCCCACGGAGCAGATTTTGCAAACTATTTTGACCCAAGAATTTTGGCAAGACCATAACATTCTACGCTATCGCCGTCTCTCTCTTGCTTTCGAAGTTGGGCCAGAAAAATGGAACGGTTGTAAGTAAGCAAGAGCGGGGTAGAAACGTAAGAGTGTTTTTGATACTTAATAGCTTTAAACATCGCTCTCCACCAAAGTAACAATAGGAACACATCTTTGGAATGTGTTTGCATGAAGGTGGAGGTGACCTCGTTGCCAAGGATACGGAGCGTCGAATTGAACGACAGCCTTTATCTTTCTTGCTCGCAAGCTTATTTGGGTTTTAATCTTGTTTATCTCAAATAGTTCGTAGCAATATTTGCATAACAGATTTTTGATTTTCGACCCAGTATTTATTCCAATCACTCGGCTCTTACTGCTTATTTGTCACATCCTATTTCTGCAGAAAATGGATGAAAGTGAAGAAAAAGACGAACACGAGCATGGTGATTTTCCTGAAGGTCCTGGCAAACTATACGAACCCTACATCCGAAACGAAGATTTAGTGGACAAGCTCAAATTACTAGACTATGAAGAAGGTTTTCTCAAAATGAATACTGCATTCAAACCTGTCCAGAGGTAAAATAATTGATTGTTTTTGAAGATTCGAATGAGCAATATAATTTAGGCATTATTTTGTGAACTCAACCAATGTTGGCGAGCAATTCTTTATGTTCACTTCGCTGGCTGCCTGGCTGATAAGAAAAGGTGGCAACGAAAGTTATGAAATGCCACAAGAGGTAAGACCATCAATCAAATCTGATTTTCATTGTATATTCCAGATCATTTTTGATACTAGGATACTTTGCATTAGTTGCGAAATGCTCACTCTCATGAGAACCTTTTTGTTTTCATACATCACCACGGTGCTGGTTTTTTGGCCTGACCTTCGCACCCTTTTTTCATCGAACTTTTGAATAAATTTCAGAAATTTCTCCAGAATTTAATCCCACTTATATATTGTTAGTCGAAAAGAAGACAAAACTTAGACTTCCTTCATTGTTTGGCAAAATAGAAGAAATACGCAGTACAAGTGATTTTGTAAGAAGCAATAGCGTGATTTTTTGGATATAAACTATACCATAGATTTTTCTTTGTAATTTTGCCTCAAAAACAGTTCTGAAATACTGGAGATCAAAAGATATTTTACTCAGATTATATAAACCACGTCATTTTCTGTGAATCGCCGAATGAAAATAGACAGCGAAATCTCTGGATTTTGAGGTCTTATACTGCCCAGGGTGAATTCTCCTTTCTCATGAGCATTTTTCAAGCTAACATCGTAGCAATTCTCAAAAATGTTTGATAGGCAAACTTAGTTAAATAGCACCAATTCCAGTTCGATGACCCGAACGCGACCATTGCTGGAATTATGGGACACCTACGAGCCAATGTGAGTTCAGTTCACCTTTATTAACGAAACAAACAAACGAAAAAGGCATTGTCAAGTTTTACAATGCACATTGAGATCAGGAACAGAAATATCTGAGGCAGAAAATCACGTGTTTTATTTACATAGTACATCCAAGACCGCTGTGCTCAAATCGAGCATCGACAAGGCGATGGAGAAAAATTCTGTCATAGCCTTCGAAAGTCTCAAATTCACTCTTTACATTTACACATCGCACACCAGGAAACTGTGGAAGATCGCAAAGTTCTGGGCCTTTGCACTTGCTGTGCTGCTCTCCATTGTAGAATATCCGATTGTAGCACTGTTCTATAAGGGGATAGTAAATGGATACAGCTGGCAGTCGCTCGTAGATGTTGGACGCATTTTTCATGTTATTCTTGAAATTTTTCTGGATCTGTTCCAAATCGTCACTTCGGACCAAGGGATCGTTTGCCAAAGTGGTCAGAAGTGGATCGTAGATGGGAGGTTGGCTCTTCTCTGACAGGGTACTGTTGTCAAAATTCCAGAATCTTAGGTGAAGAGCAGAATTCATCTCGATGGGAAGAGATATCTTAAGTAGTATATGAGAAATAATTCTCGAATTCGAATCATATTAGATTGAAAGTATTTTTCAAGAGCCCTACTAAAAAAAGGGAACGGGTTACCTGTTCGTAGCCATCGCGTATTCCATAGCTTCTGTGAATCCAAGCACTGTCGACTCTTTCCGGCTTCACCACAATTTTACCCCAGCGCGTTTCACCTTAAGAATTATAATCGTTTGTGAATGAGTAGAGCATTTACTAGGCGAATACCTTTGAATCGCAGGGACATTAGAACATCGGCTGGTGAGTAAGTTGATGCAGCTGTTGCTAGAACAAGAATTGATCTGCATGATTCTTTTGCAATATTGCGGAATTGTAAGAAACGTATACAAGGTGTACCAAATGTCTTCACTGTGTCAACAACTATTGTATTAGGTACTTTGCGGACCTTTGATTATTGAATTAGAGAGTTCAGACTTTCACTGCAACTCCGATCGCTTTTCATTACTATAGGATCAAGATAGAAAATTACAGTAGAGGTTTAAAAGCATTCAAACTTTGCTTAAAAAGACACGTCAGTCTAAAATCTTTTGCTAAGTGAGCATTTAGGATCGTGGTCCTTGTATATAGACGATGCACTGAACCTTAATTTTTAGTACAAATAAGGCTGGCATACTGTAGTAGCGGCCCTCCCGTTAATCATCAAGATTGGTCACACCATCTAAACCATTTTTCAGAAGTTTTCAGAAGTTGTTTGACGGGTTAGCGGGGTTAGAAGCTTACTGCAACGGTTTTCAAGTATTTTATATTTCTGAGACTTTGTAACTAATGTAACTGTCGTAAACGTACAGTAATGAGGAAGAATCACGTAATTTATTCTGCCTGCAAAACTGAGTCAAAGCGAGTCCGGAATGGCATCAAAAGCGCTGAGATTTTAGGAAAGAGAGCTATAAAAGATCGAGCATTTGAGTACTTATTAGGGACAAAGACTAGGTCATTAGTGGGTAATTTGCAAGAAACATGGATTCGACTTCTTGAGATTCTCGTGGGTATCGAGGTTAAGTCAGGATGAATATCCAAGAAATTTTGTTTGTGCCACAACAGAAGTTCTTTTTCGACATCAAGCCTGTAGCTACCAGCTCTCATTTATTCGTAAACTATTCAAAACATTGCAGCCTCCAGGAAGTGAAATTTATGGCTACGCTCAGCTGAGAAATCTGGGCATATCTTGCTTATACTAGAAGCTACCCAGATGTATTTTCCGTAAAAGGTTTTTTGCTCTGTACGCTTACCGCACTGCTTTATCTTCTACAACACTGCTCAATTATATTTCTGCAAGTAATCGGAAATACACCCACTTGTTGTGATACCAGATTGACTCATATTGTAGGCTACTACAGCTGCTTCTGGATACATTGAAAAAACCTAAATATGGGCATGGATGTTTTTTTGTGCTACAGCTTTAACAATTTACTCTTTGGAATTCGTCCAAGTATGTCCTTCCAAGACGAGGAATGATAATGTCATCCGTGTCTGGGAATACAATGAATTGTGCTGATTCCTGGAAACAAAATTCGCACATAACCGATGATCTTCAGCTCATTTCTTACTTTATACAGCAGAAGACAATCAGTCATGGCGGCTGCTTGATTGCGAAACTCCAGCTCAAAGTTGGGATCAAATGATTGTGCAGCAGCTCTTTTTGAACCCAACTGTAGAGCTGGCCATGGATTAACTCGCACGTTTGGATATCTGATGATGATAGAGAACAGATCCGTGATCATCGAGCGCACATAGAAATGCATAGCAGCTCCGTAGTGGCTGTACACCTAGATGAAAGTAAGGGACTTTTTTGAGGGCGGATGAAAAAATTACCAACCTCAGCCGTCAACAGTAGCAGTTGCCATCGCTCGTTAAGAAATAATGGCGAAAAGCAGGCGACGACATCATGAGATTCCGTGTAAGGTTGACGAACAGGGATCTGGAGAATACCTTTGATCGAAGAGCACAGGCTAGAAAAGGAAAAGACCGTTATAGCTGTGGTTCCCGTGGACAGTTGTAACGAAGTCATGCTTGCGCTCACACGCCCGACAGCGATGAATGGTACCCACTTGCAATAGAACGGAAGCTGCTGGACTACCGGATATATCCTAGAAACATGTGATAACCACTTATTTAGGCATGAAGGATTAATTATAATATTGCTACTGCACTTCTTATCAGGACCAGGTCCGGAATTTAGGAGAGCAGTTTTAAGTATTATTCTTAATCAGTTTGTCTCGTTGAGTTATGCCAACGGTGATTTTTCTTGAGCACTTGAGAGCAAAATTTTCTTTTCCTGTTGTTTTATATCAGGTTGATGCAAAAGTTCTTGCTTATCATTTCTGGAAGATTGTGACTTTTTGCCCTTCCAGCGGATTTGCACAAACTTAATTTTGCGAGATAGAGGAAGGTGCTTTTGCTGTATCTGTTGACGGGTAGCTTTTAAGATGGAAACAGCAGGAGAATGAAATCACTTCAACTTCGGCCATCTTGAGCTGCTGCTAAAAATCTAAACTTGTGATGTAAGAACAAGCAGTGTAGTAATTCTTTTTTTTCCACCCTTTTCAATATTGCAGGACTTGTGTTGAGGGCATCTCTGCGAATAGTTACTATAGTTTTTGGGTAAGCAGTCCAAAACAGCAGACTTGATTTTTTGCATTTTTTTCATCGTAACTCTTCGCAGAGAAGCCCATTTGATGCAAACTTTGCACTATCGGAAATTCAAACGGTCTTCACTACTTCTTTTGCGTATATTTAAAAAAATTCATGCGAATTGCTTTTTCAGTAAAACAGGATTAGAACTATGGGCTACAACGCGCAATTTCAACGTCGCCAGGCATTGGTAATTTCTTTGAGAGAAAAATCGGTACTTTTCTGTCATCCAGACCTTTCTTCAAAAAGGATGTTGTTCTTAGCGAAGTTTTTCAAGCCGTCATTTAGATTATTTCCTGGCTAGATTTACATTGCGGAAACAGTTTGAAGGGGGGGGGGTATTTTCGTGTCATCGCTGAAAGGGTTGCTCTTGTAAGAACCAACTAGAGCTTTTGAACCAACTCAGATGCTCTCGTGAATTGCAGGAAATGATTTTACAAAAAAGCATGTCAAAGTGAATCAAATGTGTTAATTTTGTCCGTGATGGCGCGGAGACAGTCCTTATAGAACTTATGAAAAAGACTTTCTAGGCTAATTAAGACAAATCATGGAGTTTTCAGAAAAAATGGGTTCGGATAACGGAAAATACCGAAAATCTTTGATAGTGCCAAAATGACTTAAAAATGGCTAGTAATCTCTATAGAATCTCCGCTCTCTATGTCCATGAGTGTATGCGCAAGTGTGTTCTTGATACGCTAACGAGATAATTTAACGAGCCGAGAATTTACCCGTCTTCATATATTACGAAGGCGCTGACGCAACGGAAATGGCAGATGGACATGTATTTATTCAACAAAAAAGTCAATCTTAGCAAGGTAGAGGTAGTTCACCTGAATGTGGTTTTCATTGGCCCTGACGAGTTTGTCGATATGCCTTGTAGCTCTGAGTGCTTGAGATGGAGCACTTGATGAGCGTTTAGAAGAAATACGACGGTATCGTTTTCAAAGCTGAAATCGTAGATGTACTAATAGACCGCTGAAATAAGAAGTTTCTTCACCTTTTGGAAGTGCTGTAGTATGTGGCCGACAGAATCGCGACGTCATCATTTCGAGCAACGTACTCATGAATAATATTGTTGTGTTGACGGTCGAAGTATGATAGAATGATCATAGCAGCGCAAAGGGACACAAGGAAAGAGCTCACACAAGCAGCGATGCACAGGCGACGATAACGTGGTGCTGGAAAGGAAATTCACGAATTAGTATTTGCAGCAAAGTTTTTGATTTTGACTTTGTTGGCTGTAACCGCCTCTTGCCCTAAAAGTATTTCATTGCCTAATTCAAAGTCGAATAAAATTCTGCTGATAATTTCGCTTATCACAAAGCTTCAAATTTTGGAATTAAGATAATGCAGGCCCCTCAAATGGCAATTAGATAGAGCTCGTAGCCTGAAATTTCTTGATGAGTTCTTTCAATAACATATGAATCGAAGACGGATTTGGATTTGATTCTTAAAAAAAAACGTCAAAAACGCCATTAATATGCTTTTGGCTTGTACTGGAATAGTTTATATCTTATTCGAACCTTTTTTCTTCTCTAGATATACGATGTTAGACAAGTCATACTGTTATTTTCCTCAATTTCGATCCCTCTGAACACTTCTCACGCATTGGTGCCAACCCTTTTGCAGCGAGGCCTAGGCATCGGGGGGGGGGGGGTCAAAGAAGTTGAAAGAACACTTCAAGGATCTATAAATAGTGGCCAGCAATGTGCATATGTACTATTCTGAAATCACATAAGTTTGAGGTCAAAATTTCATGGAACTGACCTGCAGAAATCGGGGGTATATCCAATTTTGAATGTTGGAAATCAATCGCATATAACATCGGTACGGTCATATTGTTATATATTTTATTAAATCAACGACAATCAATTGTATGAACCTTTTATATACAGCTTATGTACTTATACGGATAGTGCTATGAGTTCGTAATTAATAAACCTATTTCTAGAAGCTTGCAACTGCCAGCAAAAATTTTGCGGTTACCAACAAGGAAACAAAGTCCTCTCAAAAATTGTTCGGGATGCTTTCCTACTTATTCGACAACCCCGCCCCCAGAAAATTTTTTTTTGCAAAGCCAATTTGAATTTTTAAAGGATCTCAAAAGTTTATTATCTGCGAGCAAAAAAAGTCACACGCACAATTCTATCTCATGTTGGTAACTTTCGAAAATTTCGCTACCCAATCTCGAGGGTGGGGGAGGGAGGAGGGGGGAAGGGGAGGGGAAGGGGGGAAGCGGGGAGGCGATCTTCTTTCTTGGTCCGCCACTGCCATATTGTGTCATATTTTGACGAAGAGTGACATATTAGCACCTTTCAAAATAAAGTACAAAAATTTTGCATGCACATTTGGAGGTAAATCGCTTGACAAAAATCATTAATTATTTTTTGGTATTTTAGTCTTAGAACAATGACATCTAAGAAATCACCAGCAGAGGCCACTAGTCATTCAACGCGCGTTTTCAGGATTGCTGATTTGCGCAATGTCCGTAAAGGTTTCTGGAGAGCCTCACCTGTCAGTAGACTATAAATAGAAGCAGTCTTCCGCATATCAACATACATTTCCATGGACCGGAATCTTCCTGTCAGTCAAATTTTAATAAGTGATGATGTAATCAATGAAAATAATCCTTTTCAATATAATCATCCAGAATTTATTGAGTAAAAGGATAAGTAATTCTTAAAGTAAAAGCAAAATTGTGATCTTGTCCAAGAGAATAATAGGCTAACGAACCATACTGGGCGGGCTAACGCTACGGCTAGCGTATCACGATACCATCTTTTGTCGAAGCGGATCATCGTCGTCGAGAAAAGCGAGAAACGGCAAACATAAGCTGAACGAGTTTTTGGATACACTAAATATTCGATAAAGAGGGGAATTTGCCCAAATTCACTGCAGCTCCGAGATAACAAACAAGTACTCGCCTTCCGAGAGTATGTGAATCCCAGAATGCTCTCGAATACTTGGTCAATCTACGTTTAGTGTAAGCAATAAACGCAAATGAGTTCTTGTACGTGATCTACTTCAAAAAATATTCACTAAGTTGTCCACTACTTATTTCGCACCTTCTCTCGAAATTATAGCTGCTTCGCATCTCTATAGGATTCTCTGAAAGTACTTCTGCTTATTGTAGAGATTATGCTCTTTATAATAGTACCTTTGTGGGTAACCTTCCTTGAGCAATGCAACGTTGAATAACTCTCTTATTTGCTTATAACTCTCTTTCTTATGCTACTATGATTTACGGCAAGGTTAGTATGGTTGTAATGCGCGGAATTTTCTCTTGTAAAGGAACTCCCAAAATCCTGCGTAGTTTTATTCATTTCTTTGTAACTCTTGCGTTTATAGAAGTTATGATGTTTTGCAAAACGTGCGAACGAACTTTCGTACCAACCTAATAGATTGGCTTGCAAGAGATTGAAGCTTCTTTCGCAAAGCTATACTCTCATGCCAGACTTTATTGAAAATCAACAACTGTTTCATTACATTGATCAGCTGGCGTATTCTAAAACGCCTGTCTTAGTCCGAGATAATATTCTTGTTTAAATAGGGCTCAAGATCGCCACAAATACTATTTAGGATTTGGGTGTTGACTATCCTGCCACAAAGCTGAAATCTGGAGCAGGTGATGCAGTTCTTCATGTACTTGATACTCTGGCAGATGCTGCTCTCATTCATATCAACTTTAAATGGGAAAAGTAATTTTTTTCCTATTTTCCAATTTGCCATTACTATATATCAGTGGAACTTTTTGATCTAGGATGGTTCCACCAGAAAAAGAAGACGACGATGTTGCTGTTGATCAGGAAGAAGAAGAAGATGACGCTTCTGAGGTCTTTTTACTAATCCTAATGGAGAATGGGCTTTTGACTTCAGAATATTTACTTTAGGTTATCGATGACGACTACATCGACGACGACGATGGAGGTGTCTACGTTGATCTCTCAGCTCCACTGAACAATGAACAACAGGTGTTCTAACTTCTTAATTTCTCTTTTTGTCGGAAACGCCACATTATAATATAAAGCATACCTTCGATAGTCTAGAGACAGGACGTCAAAAGTGAAGGTTGTTTTGAACATATGACCTCATAAAAAGTGAAGGTTGTTCAAAGATGATCAGAGAAGAGAAAATGACGTAAAATAGATATAGAAAGCAAAAGAAGCTGCTAAAAACCGGATAAAAACACAGCAATGAGGTTTGGAAACTTTCATTTGGCGGCTTTTCATAGTGCAAGTTTTCGCTCCAGGACCAACAATTCGCAACACGGGGTTTTGATTTTTGATGCGTCCTTTGGATTTTTACCCCCGACGTTTCTGTTTTCTGGGACGTTGTCTGGATTGTTGCGCTTGTTGTTCTGAGCAAGAATCGCCCAAGCTGGAAAAAAATCGATGCGAAAGCACTGAAACAGAACAAGGTGAAGAAAAACGCACTTTTTACGATTTTATGCAAAAAATTCCACCATAATCGAAGAGATAAGGGCTGGGTGGTTGTCTGCATTATGAACAGAAACAAGATCTATAGAATGCACGAAAAAACCGCATAAAAAGAGTTGAACTAGGAAGAAAACAAGAGTTTTTCGAAAACAAGGTTTTTACCGGATTTCTCGGTCAAATGAAAAAACGTGGTTCTGGGACGTTGTCAGCCTTAAAATAGAGGTCAAGAGCTTCAAAATGATATATAGCTTGTTGAAATGGGGTTCGAAACAGCGAGAAAAAGGATACCAGAGCCAAATGCCTTGCGCCCCGCGTTTGGGGTAGCGAGGTAGCGCGCAGCGCGCGGAGACGCAGACGAGCAGCGGAGCCAGACCAGAGCCGACGGGGCATTTGGCTCTGGTGTAGAGCTCCACGGGGCCTCAACAAAACCCTGCGACATTATATATCATTCTGATCGTCATGACACGGCGAGGAGAACTGACAACGTCCCAAGCTTTAAAAATCATTCATTAACGAGATAGACCAGCGTTTTCGTGCGCGACTCTCTTGAGAAGATTTAAGCGCAATTTCTCATTTTCGTTTAACTCCAACGGCTTTCCTAAACTTCTGAAACTCGATTTTGGTCAAATAAGAATTTGATTGAGAAGTTTTCTCCTGAATTCCGGTGAAAATTTCACAGAAACCTTCTTCTTAACTAAAAAAGGCTATGACAACGTAAATTCTTGGTTTCGCTGAGATAAACTAAAGATATTATTCCCTATATTTGCTTCATTAACATTCGTTCCGATATACTCAGGATAATAACATCCGGGGCGATGCCCCGGATGACTTCTGCTTTTTACTAGGTGAAGGTTGTGTTCCCTCATAGCTCTCAAAGTGAAGGTTACCAGAGTACGTGGCTCTATGTATCGAGGGTATGCTTGCGGCTCTCCTCCTCCCCCCCGGACATCCTCTTTGCTTTCCGCCCTAAAAACGATATCTAGCTTGACCAGATGCCAGCTGTGCCGAGCCCTGATTTAGTCACATGTACCCTTATATTATAAAGTAAGTTTTAGGAGGTTCCCAAACAAGCTATACTCCACAGTAACACCGATGTCATTGCGTGGCGTGAAGAAGTTGAAAGAGTGACTCCGTTGCTGAAGATTACAGTAAGGCAAGATGCTAAGGTAGGAAAATTTAGAAAGTTGATGCATATTTTTGCATCAAAAATTTGCAAGATTCACAAATTTTCTCAACTTGAATGAATTTTTCGCTCTAACACAACTATAGATGGAGCAAATCCTGTACTCTTCAACCTAGACAAAACCTTTTGTTGCCATCGCAATGATAATGCTGTTGAAGAGAAACAGCTGGAAAGTGGTTACTCCCCAAACTTACTAAGACGTCTACTAAATCCCCGTTTTGATTTTGCTTTTGCTTCAATGACTGCTTTTTCTATCTGCCTAAAATTCGAAGTGATAGGACGTTTCTACTAATTGATGATCTTCGTTTTTCAGTCAATTTGCTTTCAACTCGAGATAACTCTAATGTTCTGGATAAAATACAGTGTTGGATATATGTTACAGAAATTATTCAAGCACTTTCAAAACAAATTTCTAAATATTTTAAGACTTATTGAGGGAATCCCGGTCTGGGTGTCGCGGCCGTCGCGGTTCGTGTCCTAGCGAGCCGCCTCGTTTGGGTCTCTTGCCGCTTCGCTCCGCGGATATGTATTTTCGCATGCCTAAGATGTGGGAAATACCGTAATTTTAGACGTTAATGGCTGACGAGCTTGGGAAATTTCCCTGAGACACGTTCGCGAATGCCGTCGGGTGGCCAAACGAGGCGGCTGGCGAGAACCGAGCCGCGCCGACAGCGACGATCAGAGGTTGATCCCCTGTGTCAACCTACATATGCAAAAATCTTCAGTTTGCCATCCAAAGCAAATATAGGCTGCTGCATGACGAAGGCGCAATGTCTTTGGGGGCGAACGCGGCTTTACTAGCTACGGAGCGCATGAGGCGCAGGATAACGGTGAAGATACGCGCGTCGCGTTCGCGTCTGCTCAACCAACAGTGCCTCTAAGCCTTCGTCCTGCAGCTTTATATACAATGCGTTTGACGGGGCCAGCGCCGCGTAATGCAGTTACACACCTGCGCGCGAGCGCTACCGTATGTGTAGCGTGCAGGGGCCATGCCGCGCAAAGCGGCGTAGTTCTTGTTTTAGCTACTCTTCCTGCTCCTTCTTCAACTTATTCGCTATCCTCCTTCCAAATTTCCGAGCTTTTGCTGCCTAAAACTCTACTTTGGTACTTCTCAAGATCTCTCAAAGTATCACCGCGCGAACGGAAGACAAAATGGAGGTTCGAGGTCTAAAAGAAGATATCATCTAAATAATTTCATTTGAAAGTTCTGAGAACGGCTGGGGCTCTTCTTCCTTAAAACTAAAGTGAATATGTGAGATGTAACCGTATACCGTACAGGTTGAGAGGACAGTTTGAGTGAACAGCGCGTTAGCGCTGTTTACTCGAACCTAAAACGATATACTTATGTCCGCTGAAACACGAGTCGATATGATAAATCCTGACATCCGAAATCAGCCATCCGAAGAAGACCTGGATGAAATGAAAGATGTCATGAGGAAAACGTTCAAAGATGTGACGCCCTCTTTTTACTGCTAAAACAAAATCATATCCGGTACCAAGACAGATCGCATTTGAGCACACAAGCAAGAAAAAATGCAATCCGACTCTACAAAAACGGAAAGTTACGAGATACAATAATAAAATCAAGGCCCGCGATGTTGTGCGCAGCTTGGTCCCTGCACGCTGCGCGTATGGTAACGTTAGCGCGTAGATGTGTGACTGCACTACGCGGCGCTGACCTCGTCAAACGCATTGTAATTTGATGTCTGGTGATTGCTGACTGGATTGACAATAACCGTATTAAACCACATAGATCTTCAATACTACGTGTAGGAAAAACTTTGATTCTGCTTTTTTGTTTGATGCATTCATTCCATTTTATACTGCGCTATCTCTTGTCATCTATTTTGACTTCCCGATATATTTAGGATTGGAGGATGCATCTTGAACAAATGACGTCTCTTCAGCAAAACCTGACAGATCTCATTGATGAGCTCTCACCAAAATTGGACCAGGTGCGTTAGAGTATATGCCTAACCGATTAATATCTATGGTATGTTGTCAGGTAGCGAGTGAAGTAGAAAAGTCCTTGGAAAGGATTGAGTCACGCGAACGAACATTGAATCAGCAATTGGGGATGTGGCTTTCGCGTTATAAAGAGTCTCAGGACTCTAGAGCTGAAGTTAGGGAGCGATACAAGTGAGATTAATAATAATCAAACTAGCCCTCATAAATTACTATTTTATAGAGCTGCATCAGGAGGAGTAACTGAAAGAACAGGAACACTGCAGAGAATCTCCGAAGATATTGATCAGATCAAAATGCAGATCGAAGAACAAGGAGCGAAAACAAGCGATGGAGGTAATCCCATTATTTTTTTTGTAAAAAATTTTTTGTTTTTTTTTCCAGCGCCAATGATGAAAGTGAAACAAGCGTTACTCAAGATTGAAGAGGATATTCAACGAATGAACGTGCAAATCGGAGTACTCGAGCAAAATCTTCTCCAAGCGCAGTTGAAAGAACGTGTTTCGTATACGGCCGAAGCCTACGGTGTGGCATGAGGATTGTGTATCTATGTATTTCATTCTAAGCCATATCTTCGATAGTTTAGAGATAGGGCGTCGAAAGTGAAGGTTGTTTGAGTATCTGTTCCCCATAAAAAGTGGAAGTTGTTGTGTTTATCGAAAATCAAAAAAGAAAAAGGTGCAAAACATTTAACGAAAGGAGGATCTCTTGAAAACTTAATAAAACGTCGCAATCAGTTTAGCTAGTTTCTTCTTTGTGATTGTTTCAAAAACAAACATACTTTGGAAGCGGTGATTATCAAGAAGAAAATGAACGAAAACCATCCAGTCATGAAAACGCAAAGTTTTGTTTTTTCTAAGTCGAAATGCACGTCAAGGACAACCTAGTTTTTAATGCGTCCTTTGAATTTTTGGCCCCTTCTCGTAGTTTTTGTTTCTGGCGACGTTGTTAGCTTTGTTGTGCTCGTAATCCTGAGCAAAATGTTTCAAGCATGTAAAAAATGGTTGCTTACTGACTCTAATAAAGGCCTATGAATAAAAACGCTTTTTGCAGCTTTATGCTAGATATTTCACTACAATCGGAGAAGATAGTCCCGCGACGTTGTCCGACGTTATGAGAGAAAGCATGATCTATGGAATGCACAGAAAATCCGTTTGAAAAGAGCTAGATTGAAGACAAACAAGGGATTTTCGAAAACGCGATTCTTGCCAGATTTCTAGTTCAAATCAGAAAATGGAGTTCTGCGACGTTGTCAGCGTGAAAGTAGATAACAAGAGCTTCAAAGTGATATACATTTTGTTAGGGTTAAATTGAAAACAACGAAGAGAGTACCAGAGCCAAATGCCCCGCGCCCCGCGTTTAAAGTAGCGAGGTAGCGCGCACAGACGAGCAGCGGAGACGGACCAGAGCCGACGGGCCTTTGGCTCTGGTCGTAGATCTCAACGGGGTCACAACGAAACCCTGCAACATTATATATCGTTGTGATCCTCATGACACGACCAGGAGCACTGACAACGTCGCGGATGTTGAAAACGAACAGAACGAGATAAACCAGCATTTGGGTAGTGATTCTTTGCCCAAGATTCAAACGCAGTTTTTCTTTTCTGTTGAACTCCAACAGCTTTCGTGACCTTCTAGCACTCAATCGCAGTCTATAAAAAGGTCAACTGAGAGTTGGCGTCCCAAATTCTAGAAAACTTCGAATAAAAACCTTTCTCTAGCGAAAAGGTTACAAAAACGCAGTCTTTTTTTTTTGGTTTTTTTCAAATATCACACCCTATACTTGCCTCATTCACATTGACTCCTATATAATTATGTCATAATATCTGGGGCTTCGCCCCGGATGACTTATGTCCTTTTCTCCAGGTGAAGGCTGTATTCTATCATGACGTCAAAGTTAAGGCTATCAGAGTACATGGCTCTATGTATCGAAGGTATGCTAAGTCAAAAGTAATATGGGTTGCGCTTTCATGTATAATATAGTATAGTAACTTTCCTCTCAATATAGTGTGCCTGCGGTGCTAACACACTGAGGAAGAAGATTTGCGCTTGAACAATTAGCCACGTTAGTACTGCCGGCATTTTTCGCGCACAAGAGGCCAACGTATAGGCATGAATACTCGTTTAAGCACAGATTTGGTAGCTGATTTTCGGCACAAGCACCTTACCTAAGCGGAAAATCTACTAAAGTTTGTCCCAATCCGGATCAGACCAAAACTGGAGTGATGGGCATCGGCACGGCTTAGACTTTTGTCACGCCCTTATCGCTGCGAGCGCACGAATTTACGCCAACGTTTCAGCCTGATCCCAAATGGGCCAGACTGTGAATTGTATATGCATGTGATTGGTACATCTTATATAGCCGTGATGTTTATTAGGATATTCCCGACAAGATCACTATGGAATCCTGGCAGTTAGATATCGTACAGTACCACTCAATCAAAAATGAACGTTTTAACTATTAGGTTGTAAAGAAAGTCTCCGGGCACTTGCGAAACTTTTTTTCAAATCGCTGTAACTTCAAGCAGATTGATTCTTTTTTGAAGCTACAAACTTCAATGCAAAGACAATTTTGTCCACAACATATATTTTCTTGCTGGCTTTTTAGCACCTCACTGCGGTCCACCAGCATGCCAGAAGGGAAAAAGGTCGCCGCGAAAAGTGGCCTATTTGTGCAGGATTATCTCAGGCAGGATGAGAGCTGGAGAGCCCAGGTGCTGTAGTTATGTAGAAGTCTGCTGGCTGTTATAAGGACAATTCATGTTTTTGCAGGACCACCCACCAAAAAAATTTTTTCTAGAAAGTTTGAAGAATCGACCATTTTTTGACCCTAAAAAAGCACCATTTTTCGAGTAGGTGGCTTTAAAATCTTGTCGTTCTGCATAGGGTGGACCAAATCATTGAGTACTGCGAACATTGTTGGGATACGCCTTATACACGCCTTGCCTTATACATCTTTTGGATCCATCGTCCAGGCGTGACGATTCCCGCAGAAGCGACGCCAGCTGCGAAAAGAGGTGTAGTCAGAGGCAAGTTTGACAGCTTGTAAGTTCTGAGCGCAAATCGCAAAACTCGAGTGCAGCTGCAGGTCAGAAGCTAACAGGCTTTTTAAAAAGATCACCCATGATTTGTAAATTCTTTGAGTTGCACAAAAAATGGCCGTAGGAAGAAAAATAGTGAAATTTTTATGGTTGGAAAGATTTTCCTTTCTGATATGCAGATCAAACACGTGTGGCATCGATTAAAATCAGAAGCTGTATTGAAAACATTAGGCTTCCCTCTACTGAAAAGTACAAAAAACTTACTGTCAAAGTCCGATCGAGCACCGAAAAAATGCGTTTGAAAATGAAATTTCCAAAAGTGCCCGAAAACTTTCTTTTTTACAACCTAATAGTTTGCCCTTGCGACTTTCGAGAGCGTCCAGACTTTTTTAAAGTATAGGTCATAAACAGTCTTATTGATGCAATATCTATTTTCCCACATAAACGTTGCTTTCATAATCATAATGCTTATCCCTATGTACCCACTTCCAGCACCGTGGCTCAAAGTTTGCAAAAAATCGTTGCACTTGACTGACACTTCACTTAATTGATAAAATCAATAAGTAATTCTAAAAACGCTTGTGAGATTCTTAATTAGCATGCTTTCTTGCCTGCTCTCCCCACCCCCGTAGCTCAAGGTTTGTGAAATGTAATAAAGTTTAATATTAGGTGGGTCCGAAAATTTTGCCGGTTTTTTCAATCCATCGGCAAACACGCTAGAATGAAGATAAACAAACATTTTAAAATGTATCCAATGCAGAATTTCTTGTTCTTTACAGCAGCCAAACTATCATTGTGTTTCGTTAAGAGAGTGACGAGATATTTGCTGGAAATTACAAAAACTCGTTTTTACCATGTCCAACTTTCGCTAATTTTAAAAATTTTTGGGCTTTCGGAAGAGCACTAATAACTAGCAGATAGCGCAAACCTTTTGCCAACAGAAGCAAATTTTTTGTAGCCCTACCCCTTGTCTTTCAGCATTTCTACGATTTATTTTTCTAAGTGACCAAATGTTACATGCAGCCTATTTTAACCTCGTAGAACATAAAATGTTAAACATTTCAGTCACCGTTTGATGCATATTTTTCTTCTCTTTCACTTATCTTTTTTTGCCGAGACAGCGAAATTTGTGGGGAAAACCGCAGTATTTCTCAGTTTCAGGAGTGCGCACTGACGTGACTTGTGCTTCAAAATCTCCTACTTTGAAGCGGAAATCGCTCATTTACTTCGTAATGGTAGCGTAGTAATAATTGTGTGGTGAAACCTCAGTTTTCTGTAGGTTTTGCAGTGTTTGGTGCAATAACAGGTTATGAGATTTTTCCAAAACACAAGACTTTTAGAAACTATTCAGCAAAAATCTGAAAAAGCAGCTGAAAAAAAGAAAAAATTGCTTCTGTTGGCAAAAGGTTTGCCCTATCTTCTGGTTATTAGGGCTCCTCCGAAAGTCTCATACAAAAATTTTGAAAATTAGCGAAATTTGGACATGGTAAAATCGGGTGGTTGTAATTTCCAGCATAAATCTCGCCATTCTAGCAACGAAACACAATATGAGTTAAGTAGCTGGAAAGAAGAAGAAATTCTGCATTGGACATATTTTGAAGCATTTGTTTATCTCCATTCTAGCGTGTTTGCCCATGGACTGAAAAAACTGACAAAACTTTCGGACCTACCTAGTATATACAAACTCATCGTATGTTGAAAGCCAAATTTTTTTCTATACCTAATTACAATTTCACTTGAATTCAATTTGGGCAGCTAAATGAGACTAGAATGCGCGCATCTATGTAGACGCAAACATTTCCTTTTTCGAATCCATCGCTTGCAAAAAAATGATTATGAGTCAAGCAACTTTAAATTTGTTTTCCCCACATTGCAAAATGCTTTTGGAGTAACGAAAAATTTGTAACTACCTCTGACTTGGTGGAATCATTTCCAATGGAGTTTGTAGGCATTTCTAACACTTCCAAGGAAATAAACGGTAGTTTAGTGCATATCATATATTCCTATAGCTCTCGCTAAACCCCGCGCAATTTGATAAAACTGCTATAGTGGCTGCAGTTTTGTCACTGCAGTATTCCTGTGAAATTTCAACCTTGTAGATCTCTAAAGCTATCTTTCTGACCTTGCCTTTCACTAAGGGCTGCATGCACTAACATCCCCGCGGGGAGGGGATCGCAGCTTAAAAGAAAGCTTTATATTTCGAAACTTCAGATACCTGGATTTCACGTTGTGTACCTATCCGTAAGTATTCCTACTACCCTTCACTATGGACATGCTGAACAGGAGCGAGAAGCTGTACGAACCGCATTTTCCAGATTTTGTATGATCCCTGATGACCCCCGGTGCTTTTCTTTAAAGTCATTTTTCCTTCTCCGAAGTTAACGAAAACCTTTCAAAGTTGTATTGAACATCTAAGCCGACAGTGCTAAGCATGTTGCTGATAAGAACAAATGATGTTTTGAAGTCATGAAATTTTCGATGATCCACAGGTCGAAATTTGAGGTTTATCGAAA